GCACCCCTGACAGATGGCCACCCAGCCTCTGTTTCAAAGCCTCCAAAGAAGGAGCTTCCACCACACTCCAGGGCAGAGAGTTCCACTGCTGAACAGCTCTCACGGTCAGGAGAGAATGCTCCTAGAGACCTCCTGGGCCATCATCCAGTCCAACCCCATTCTGCCAAGAAGCAGGAATTGCATTCAAAGCACCCCTGACAGATGGCCATCCAGCCTCTGTTTCAAAGCTTCCAAAGAAGGAGCCTCCACCACACTCTCCGGGGCAGAGAGTTCCACTGCTGAACGGCTCTCACAGTCAGGAAGTTCTTCCTCATGTTCAGATGGAATCTCCTCTCTAGTAGTTTGAAGCCATTGTTCCTTGCGTCCTAGTCTCCAGGGAAGCAGAAAACAAGCTTGCTCCCTCCTCCCTGTGGCTTCCTCTCACATATTTATACATGGCTATCATATCTCCTCTCAGCCTTCTCTTCTTCAGGCTAAACATGCCCAGCTTTAAGCCGCTCCTCATAGGGCTTGTTCTCCAGACCCCTGATCTGCTCCCTCCTCCCTGTGGCTTCCTCTCACATATTTATCCCTGGCCCTCATCATATCTCCTCTCAGCCTTCTCTTCTTCAGGCTAAACATGCCCAGCTCCTTAAGCCGCTCCTCATAGGGCTTGTTCTCCAGACCCTGATCTGCTCCCTCCTCCCTGTGGCTTCCTCTCACATATTTATACATGGCTATCATCATATCACCTCTCAGCCTTCTCTTCTTCAGGCTAAACATGCCCAGCTCCTTAAGCCGCTCCTCATAGGGCTTGTTTCTCCAGACCCTTGATCATTTTAGTCACCCTCCTCTGGACACATTCCAGCTTGTCAATATCTCTCTTGAATTGTGGTGCCCAGAATTGGACACAATATTCCAGGTAAAGTGGTCTAACCAAAGCGGAATAGCGCATGGGGAGCAGGACTTCCCTAGATCTAGACACTAGGCTCCTCTTGATGTAGGCCAAAATCCCGTTGGCTTTTTTTGCCACCACATCATTTTGCCACCATGATCATCATTATTATCATCATCATAATTTTATTGATTTAGTTTATTTGTTTGTTTGTTTATTGATTGATTTATCGTGTCAGGAGCAAACCAGACAGTTGTATTGCATTTATTATTATTATTATTATTATTATTATTATTATTATTATTATCTTTATTTGTTCCCCACTAGCATCTCCCGAAGGACTCGATGTGGCTTACAAAGGCCAAGGCCACAATAAAACAGTAACATAGCAAATACACAACTTAAAGCAAATCAAAAACAATGAAAGCAATACCAGAACAACAAAAACAGCACACCAGAACACCATAAAACTAGGGCCGGGCCAAATGTAGTGGGTACAGATGAAAAAGTGCTGGGTGTGACAGGTGGCAAGTCGGATTTTAGGGTAAGTGCAGTGTGCAGTGCGACAGCTCCCCGGGCGGCTAGAAAAAGTTAAATAGCCTCTGTGTATGTCTGTATATGTTGTATGTCAAAATTGGCATTGAATGTTTGCCATATACGTGTACACGGTAATCCACCCTGAGTCCCCTGCTATGGGGTGAGGAGAAGGGCGGAAGAGAAATGCTGTAAATAAATAAGTATATACACATATATACACACACAAAACACATATACACAGACTGGGACACAGCAGCGTGTGGCAGGGGACGGCTAGTAACATAATAAAAATTCATATAAAAACCATTAAAACTATAATCATCCATGTCTTCCAGCGCAACTCCTTATCCATTTGCATCGTCTAGACCAGGGGTCGGGAACCTTTGGCCCTCCAGCTGTGGTGGACTTCAACTCCCACAATTCCTTGAGGCTCGGCATTCGCCCCAAAGGCTTACCTTGGCCCAACGAGGTTTGTTTGGCTCTTTTTCATGGAGGACGGGCAGCAAAGGGGGAGAGACGAGCGTAACGTAGCTGTGCAGATGGCGAGGAAGGATGCGGAGCCCACAGACTGGCCTCGGAGGGAGAGAGCGGGTGGAAACCCCTGCGGGCAACGCGCCTCCTCGCCGCTTAAACAGCGCAGAGCCCTTTCCCTCCAGCCTTCGCCTTCCCTTTTCCCCGACAAGCTCTGCACGACGTCACTCAGCCGGCGTCGTTGCTAGGGAGGGGGTCCATGCGGGGCGGGTGCTAAGGGCCGAAGCGGCGAGGAGGCGCGTTGCCCGCAGGGGTTTCCGCCCGCTCTCTCCCTCCGAGGCCAGTCTGTGGGCTCCGCATCCTTCCTCGCCATCTGCACAGCTACGTTACGCTCGTCTCTCCCCCTTTGCTGCCCGTCCTCCATGAAAAAGAGCCAAACAAACCTCGTTGGGCCAAGGTAAGCCTTTGGGGCGAATGCCGAGCCTCAAGGAATTGTGGGAGTTGAAGTCCACCACAGCTGGAGGGCCAAAGGTTCCCAACCCCTGGTCTAGGCTGTTCCGTGTTTGTTATTTCATTGAACTGTGTTTCCAAAAGCTTGCTCAAAGAGCCAGGTTTTTACTCTTTTCCCAAAGGCTAGGAGGGAGGGGGCCAATCTAATATCCCTGGGGAGGGCATTCCACAGCCGAGGGGCCACCACTGAGAAGGTCTTGTCTCTTGTCTCCACCAAGCATGCTTGCAAGGAAGGCAGGACCAAGAGCAGGGCCTCCCCAGATGGTACATAAGGAGAGATACATTCAGACAGGGTCGTACTCAGAAGGTGTTGCTGGGGGACTCCTGCTTGTCCTGTGGGGTCCCGCAGGGATCAGTATTGTCCCCCATGTTGTCTACATGAAGCCGCTGGGTGAGATTATCAGGAATTTTGGAGTCCGATGCTATCTGTACGCAGATGACGTCCAACTCGATCACTCATTTCCACCAGATGCTAAGGAGGCTGTCCAAGTCCTGAACCAGTGCTTGGCCGCTGTGACAGTCTGGATGACGACGAGCAAAGTTGAATCCAGACAAGACAGAGGTCCTCCTGGTCAGTCGCAAGGATCTAGGGTCACAGCCTTTGCTGGATGGGGTTACACTCCCCTTGAAGGCACAGGTTCGCAGCTTGGGGGTCCTTCTGGAGCCTGGAATCCCAGGTTGCAGCGGTGGCTAGGGGAGCTTTCGCACAGTTAAATTTGTGCGCCAGCTGCGCCCATACCTTGGGAAGTCAGACTTGGCCATGGTGGTCCACGCTCTTGTTACATCCAGGATAGACTACAGCAATGCACTCTACGTGGGGTTGCCTTTGAAGACTGCTCGGAAGCTTCAAATAGTCCAGTGAGAGGCAGCCAGGTTAATAACTGGGTGTGTGTGTGTGTGTGTAGTGGATTCTCTACCAGTTAGGCTGAGAGAGGCCTTGGAAAATAGTAGGCCCAAGGACTTTGGCAGCCATCTTAGGAAAAGGTGCCGGGGGAATCCATTTTGTCATTCATTTCCTAGAGGGGACATGTTTAGGAAGAGCAGCCTTCTGGAGGGAAATGAGAGAGGAATGTGATCGGCTAAGTTAGAGTGGGCGGAGCCTAACTTGGCAAGAGGAAAAAATTGTCTTTACAGAGAGGTTTTTAAACCCCTGTCAGGAGATTGAACTTGGGTGTTGAAGGGAGAGGGTGTTTGTAGTTTGGAGTGGTGTAGAGGGTTAGGAGAAAGGCCTGAGATTGGCCAGAGTTGCTAGCAGGGACAGCAGCTGTTAGGAAGATAGCTGGGAATCAGAGAGATAGATCCAGGTTAGGACTATCTGTTCTGGTGAAGAATTACTGTCAGAGAAACTATCCTGTCAGGATTCTTGTTTTGGAGGGAGAAAGAAGAGTTTCTTGAGTAACAAAGTCAGAACTGTTTATGTAACCACACACCTTCTAGACAGTTCTTTGTAATAGCCAAGCTTAGTACCTGCATTGTTCCTGTTCTTGTAAATAAACTTTATTGTTTATTGTTCATCACATCTGACTCAAGTGTGCCTCTGTGCTTAAAGGTTTAAAAACAGCTTTAAGCAGAAATCAAGAACTTAATGGTGGCACCGTATGTTTTAAAGGACTAATACCATCACACTCTTTCATACGTTACCTCAAGTAAGCCAAGGGCTTTCCAGCACTTCTAGGTTGGTGTGTGCCAGTGCGCTTTCAAAAAGGGGTTTTTCGACCAGGAAGAAAGTGCCAGCTTTCTATCGCAGCCTTTTGGATTTTGGGGCTTGTAAATCCAGAAGCCTCATTCCAGTACAAGTGGTATTCAGTTTTGGGATTTTTATTATCAGATAAATCTCCGTCTTCTTTACAGGCGGCATACAGGGAGCATACAACTCCCATGTTGGGCCAGCTCCATTGGCCTCCAGTTTGCTTCCAGGCACAATTCAAAGTGCTGGCTTTGGCCTATAAAGCCCTAAACGGCCCTGGCCTGATTTACCTGTCCGAACGCATCTCTCCCTATGAACCATCACAGAGATTAAGATACTCTGGAGAGGCCCTGCTTTCCGTCCTGCCATTGTCACAGGTGCAATTAGTGGGGACAAGAGACAGGACCTTCTCAGTGATGACTCTCCGGCTATGGAACTCTCTTCTTGGTGAGATCAGAGTGCCCCCCTCCCTCCTGTCCTTCAGAAGGATGGTAAAAACTTGGCTGTGGGACCAACTTTCGGGACAGGACAATAAAGCAGCAATAGGAAATATTATCAGGCTAGTTAGATTTGACGTGGATGACTAGGACGATTTTAAATAGTGTATTTTAATATTGAGATAAATGTTTATGTATGTGTATATGAATTTGTGTCCTCGCATTGAATGTTTGCCGTACATGTGCTGTGCTCCGCCCTGAGTCCCCTTCGGGGTGAGAAGGGCGGAATATAAATGTTTTATATAAATAAATAAATCTAAAGAAATAAAGTATTTCTCACTGGGAAATTAGCACCTCTGAGGTGGACCAAGATGTCTCCCCTCATCCCCTGGGTGCGCTGCAACACTAGGTTATTGTTCTTTGTGTGCAATGAGAGCTTTCACTATTCGCCTCCTCATTTTCCTCTCGTTTATTTGGCAGGTAGTCTCTGAACACGTCTTGTGAAGAACACCTTGTGGGAGCTTTGCCCTCGGAATGCCCTAAGTCTACAATGACTTGAAGGTACACACCACTGACAAGAACAAGAAATAAGTAAGAGAAAGATATGCTTCAAGCTGTAAACCTGTGTAATTAAGGGAGAAAGAGAAGATTGTACTCCACAAAGAAGGACTTCGAGAAAAGAATAGAAGGTTACATCAATATAAAGGCCACAAAGAGAAAATTCTGTGCTGTCCAGGAGTTCTTATCTGTGAATTTCTGAGACAATATTTTACTCATAATTTTTAAAAAATGGCAAATCTTCGACATCCTTATTGTGCATCACACACCGGGGTGGATATACACAAGTGTATGGACTGTGGGAAATGTTTCCTTGAGAGAAGTTCTCTTACTAAACATCAACGAACTCACACAGGAGAGAGGCCATATAAATGCATGGAATGTGGAAAGAGCTTCAGTCAGAGTCACAATTTGTATACTCATCAGAGGATCCACACTGGAGAGAAACCATATCCATGCATGAAGTGTGGGAAGAGCTTCAGTCAGAGTAGACATCTGTACATTCATCAGAGGACCCACACTGGGGAGAAGCCATATCAATGCATAGAATGTGAAGAAAGCTTCAGTCAGATTGGAAATCTGTGTACACACCAAAGGACCCACACAGGAGAGAAGCCACATAAATGCATGGAATGTGGAAAGAGCTTCGGTCACAGCGGGGACCTGCGTTCCCATCAAAGGACTCACACAGGGGAGAAGCCATATCAGTGCTTGGAATGTAGTAAGAGCTTCAGTCAGGTTGGACATCTGCGTTCCCATCAAAGGACCCACACTGGGGAGAAGCCATATCTATGCGTGGAATGTGGAAAGAGCTTCAGTCAGAGTGGGCATCTTCATTCCCATCAAAAGACCCACACAGGAGAGAAGCCACATAAATGTGTGGAATGTGGAAAGAGTTTCAGTCACAGTGGAGATCTGCATTCCCATCAAAGGACCCACTCAGGAGAGAAGCCACATAAATGCGTGGAATGTGGAAAGAGCTTCAGTCTGAGTGGAAATCTGCGTTCCCACCAAATGATCCACACAGGGGAGAAGCCATATCAATGCGTGGAATGTGGAAAGAGCTTCAGAAAAAGTTCAGCATGCATTAGACATCAAAAAACTCACACACGTCTAAAGGAAGAGACCTTCCTTTAAGTTTCTATCTCTCTTAAAAGAACCTTTAAGTGTCCATCCCTCTATAGGTGGACAATGAACGAGAGAGTGGAAGGAAAGAAGAAGGCTACCACCTTGCACTTTGTCTTTCATGGACAGCAACTTGTGTGACCTTGGATGACTGCTGCTGAGGGCAGGTCTCTTCTCAGTATTGCAACATGTTTGGAAGGGGTTAGCCTGACCTCTTCTGTCTCAAAGAAAGCATCAAATGCTTCGGGGATTATCTGTGAAGGCTTGCTGAATTGAGTTGGGACCTTATGATAAAAGGGTTCTGGAGAAGAATGGCTCTTTGGTAGGAGATATCATCATACATTTGTACTCTTGTCCCAAACTAGTTATGCAAAAAAAATAAGGTGGCTAGAGATACTATAGTGCACTTTGTGAAGAAAAGAGTGAGGGATGAAGTCCTCAAACAAAGCAATTTAAGGCCAACAACATTTGTACTCTTGTCCCAGATCTTGGCTCTGCTGCCCATCCGTTACAATTCTGGACTTCTTGTTCCTGTCATCCTGGTCTGGACTCTGTTGTATCCTGAATCATTGACTCTAAATTCTGGACTGACTTCCCAGCTTAATTTATGGATTTGGACTTCAGTTTGTATTCTCACTTGTTGTTCATTCGTTCAGTCGTTTCCGACTCTTTGTGACTTCATGGACCATCCCACGCCAGAGCGCCCTGTCAGCTTTCACCTCCCCCAGCTCCTTCAAGGTCAATCCAGTCACTACAAGGATGCCATCCACCCCCCCCCTTGCCCTTGGTCGACCCCTCTTCCTTTTTCCTTCCATTTTCCCCAGCATTATTGTCTTCTCCAAGCTTTCCTGTCTTCTCATGATGTGGCCAAAGGACTTCATCTTGGCCTCTACTATCCTTCCCTCCAATGAGCAGTTGGGCTTTATTTCCTGAAGTATGGACTGGTTGGATCTTCTGGCGGTCCAAGGCACTCTCAGAACTTTTTTCATACACCACAGTTCAAAAGCATCTATCGTCCTTCGCTCAGCCTTCCCTATGGTCCACCTCTCACTTTCATAAGTTACTACGAAGAATACCATTGCTTTAACTATGCGGATCTTTGTTTATTATTTATTTATTTATTTATTTACTTCACTTGTATACCGCCATTCTCAGCCCTAAGGCGACTCATAGCGGTTTACAACAGTCGAGCACAAACAAAGCGAACAATCAATGCAAAAATTCAATGCGGTATCAACAGGTAATTAAAAACAGTTAACACAGAAACAAGTTAAGCAATTAACAATAATAGACAATCAATCAATTGGCGTCTCATAACTAGAATCATGATCCAAACTCGTCAGTCGTAGTTCCATTTCCTAAAATTCATTGCACTTTTTATTCAAACGCCTGTTCGAATAACCAAGTTTTCACTCTTCTCCGGAATACCATCAATGAGGGAGCCAATCTGATGTCCGTGGGCAGGGCGTTCCACAGCCGAGGGGCCACCACCGAGAAGGCCCTGTCTCTCGTCCCCGCCAGCCGCGCCTGTGATGCAGGCGGGATCGAGAGCAGGGCCTCCCCGGAAGATCTCAAAGTCCTGGTGGGTTCATAGGTGGAGATGCGGTCGGATAGGTAACTTGGGCCAGAACCGTTTAGGGCTTTATAGGCCAACGCCAGCACCTTGAATTGAGCCCGGTAGCAAATTGGCAGCCAGTGGAGCTGGTACAACAAGGGGGTTGTATGCTCCCTGCGTCCTGCTCCTGTTAGTATCATGGCTGCCGCACGTTGGACCAGTTGAAGCTTCCAGGCCGTCTTCAAAGGCAACCCCACGTAGAGAGCGTTGCAGTAGTCTAAATGGGATGTAACCAGAGCGTGGACTACCGTGGCCAAGTCAGACTTCCCAAGATACGGGCGCAGCTGGCGCACGAGCCTAAGCTGTGCAAATGCTCCCCTGGTCACCGCCGAGACCTGGGGCTCCAGGCTCAGCGATGAGTCCAGGGTCACACCCAAGCTGCGAACTTGCGCCTTCAAGGGGAGTGCAACCCCATCCAGCACAGGTTGTAACCCTATACCCTGTTCGGCCTTGCGACTGACCAGGAGTACCTCTGTCTTGTCTGGATTCAGTTTCAATTTGTTAGCCCTCATCCAGACTGTCACAGAGGCCAGACACCGGTTCAGGACTTCGACAGCCTCCTTAGTAGCCGGTGGAAAGGAGTAACAGAGTTGGACATCATCTGCGTAGAGATGACACCGTACTCCGAAACTCCGGATGATCTCTCCCAGCGGCTTCATGTAGATGTTAAACAACATGGGAGACAATATTGAGCCCTGAGGAACCCCACAAGACAATGGTTGTGGGGTTGAACAGGTGTCCCCCAACAACACCTTCTGAGACCGACCCTCCAGGAATGACCGGAGCCACTGCAAAACAGTACCTCCAAGACCCATCCCCTGCGAGGCGTCCCAGAAGGATACCGTGGTCGACGGTATCGAAGGCCGCTGAGAGGTCCAGCAGCACCAACAGGGACACACTCCCCCTGTCGAGCTCCCGGCGCAGATCATCCACTAAGGCGACCAAGACTGTCTCAGTTCCATGCCCCGGCCTGAAACCAGACTGTGCCGAGTCCAGATAATCCGTGTCGTCCAAGAATACCTGGAGTTGTGAGGCCACCACACGTTCCAGGACTTTGCCTAAAAAGGGGAGATTGGAAACTGGCCGAAAGTTGTCAAATATAGTGGGGTCCAGTGATGGTTTTTTCAACAGCGGTTTTATTTTAGCTTGTTTTAAGCTCGCTGGAATCTTGCCTTCCGGAAGGGAGGCATTAACCACCACCGTAATCCACTCAGCCAATCCCCCTCTGGCCTCTTTTAGAAGCCAGGATGGGCAGGGGTCTAGGATGCATGTGGTAGGCCTCATTCCTCCAAGTATCTTGTCCACATCCTCGGGTTTCACCAATTGAAATGAATCCATCAAAACTGGACAAGCAGGTGCTCATGTTACATCCTCAGAGACTGCCTTTAACATGGTATCCAGACCAGAACGGATCAAAGCGACTTTGTCTGCAAAGAACCGAGCAAAAGCTTCACAGCGAGTGGCCGAATTGTCAGGGCTCCCACTCTGGGTAGTGGGATTCAAAAGGCCTCTGACAACTCGAAACAGCTCAGTCGGACGGTTCTTTGCAGACGCAATAGTGGCCGCAAAGAAAGATTTCTTTGCGGCTTTTATTGCCGCGGCATATGCCCTTAAAAAGGACACAAACCGTGTTCGATTTGGCTCGCTCGGATCCGAACGCCACACGCTCTCTAGTTCCCTCTTCTTTCGCTTCAACTCTGACTCTTTACTATTTTTTTGAGATTGGACATTGCTCTCCTCCCAAGAAGTAAGCGTCTCCTGATTTCCTGGCTGCAGTCTGCATCTGCACTCATCTTTGCACCTAGAAATACAAAGTCTGTCATGGCCTTCACATTTTCTCCCTCTATTTCCCAGTTGTCAATCATTCTTGTTGCCATAATCTTGTTTTTTTTTTTATGTTTAGCTGCAACCCAGCTTTTGCGCTTTCTTCTTTCACCTTGATTAGAAGGCTCCTCAGCTCCTCCTCGCTTTCGGCCATCAGAGTGGTGTCATCTGCATATCTATGGCTGTTAATGTTTCTTCCAGCAATTTTCACCCCAGCCTTGCATCGCATGATGTGTTCTGCATACAAGTTGAATAGGTTGGGGGAAAGTAGACAACCCCGCAGTACGCCTTTCTCAATCTTGAACCACTCTGTTGTTCCATGGTCAGTTCTTCCTGTTGCTACTTGGTCCTGATACAGATTCCTCAGGAGAGAGACAAGGTGATTTGGTATGCCCAGACCACTAAGAACTTGCCACAGTTTATTATGATCCACACAGTCAAAGGCTTTGGAATAGTCAATGAAACAGAAATAGATGTTTTTCTGAAACTCCCTGCCTTTCTCCATTCTCCAGCATCCAGATATTGGCCATTTGGTCTCTGGTTCCTCTTTCTTTTCTAAACCCAGCTTGTCCATCTGGCTACTCTCTCTCCATGTCTTGCTGGAGTCTTCTTCCTTGCAGGATCTTGAGCATTACCTTCCTGGCATGAGAAATAAAGGCCACTGTACGGAAGTCGGAGCAGTCTTTAGCATTTCCCTTTTTTGGTGTGGGGATAGAAGTTGTTTTTTCCCCCAGTCTGATGGCCATTCTTGTGTCTTCCATATTTGCTGGCACATGGCATGCATCACCTTGACAGCATCCTCTTTCAAGATTTTAAACAGTTCAGCTGTGATCCCGTCGTCTCCTGCTGCCTTGTTGTTAGCAATGCTTCTTAAGGCCCATTCAACCTCACTTCTCAGGATGTCTGGTTCTAATTCATTCACCACACCGTCAAAACTATCCTTGGTACTATTCTCCTTCCTATAGAGATCCTTTGTATAGTTTCACCACCTTCTCTTGATCTCTTCAGCTTCTGTTAGGTCCCTGCCATCTTTGTTTCTTACCTCCAATGTTTCCTTGGATTACCTTGTGTTTACTAAACCTCAGCCTTGATACTGGGAGAGCCCTGGAACATGAGACCGTCACTTTTGCTTTGTGTAGATTTATCCCTACTTAGAGTGAATGCCCTGTAGTAATTGAGACTGTTTAATCACTCCCTTTGGCAAAAGGAACCATTAGGATTCACCACATCTCTCCCTAACAGCAGAACATGGAAGACAAAGAATCCTGGAAATGCCTGACGAGGACCAATGACTCTATTGAGATGCCCAAATTAAGTTGTTCAAGGGAACTACAAGCAAGACTGGGACTTACTAATTTATTAGTTATAATAATGAGGGCACTTGTTTATTGTTTATGGGGCCACGGTGGCACAATGGGTTAAACCGTTGAGCTCCTGAACTTGCTGACCTGAAGGTTGGCAGTTCGAATCCATGGGATGGGGTGAGCTCCTGCTGTTAGGCCCAGCTCATGCCAATCTAGCAGTTTGAAATCATGTAAATGTGAGTAGATCAATAGGTACTGCCTTGGTGGGAAGGTAAACAGCGCTCCATGCAGTCATGCTGGCCACATGACCTTGGAGGCATCTACGGAC